GGAACTTCGCCTCAAAATAAAATAGCTTCGATTATTGATCTCTTGTTTGACAAATACGACTCCTTCACTGGGGCAGTCTCAACAAAACACCTAGTTACACCAACTAATGTATTATCAAAATATCATTTCGCGACAAAGAACATCGAGATCATGCGTGTTCAGTTCAATTACAAAATCTGGAAAACCGCACGTTCCAACCCCTTGATGTAATACCAAATTTCCCTTACATTCTGATGCAGTCAATCAAGGTTACGGAAATACCCCTAGATTCGACTGAACACCACATTAAAACCACTTTTGGCCAATTTGAAAAGATCGTCAGATTCAATATGGAAACAAAAAATATGTAGCAACAAGCCACTATTACATATGCAACAGATACTGACTTTAAGAAATTAAAATCATGCAATAGGGTTTTTGTATTTAATGATATGGTCAGGGTACATATGTGTAACCTGAACAGTAAGGACATTCGCGAAAAATCAAAATTTTCAGCGAAATTAGCTGGCTTACCAAAAAACACTAATGGCAAACATCTCATCGACATTGGTCACTTAACTCATGCGACAGCCTGGATTATCCCAAAAGCTCGATCTAATTACCGCAATTTACAACATGCTTTTTTTTATTTTGCTTTAAGTGATGATATGGAAGCTACTATTAGTAATGAAAATCTTTCTATTGACAAGAAGCATGTGACATGAACAGATTCCAAGGCTAAGCTTTGCGCTATTTGTTCCTCGCCTTATCACAAAGCTAGTAAATGTTCTAAATGCAGAAAAAATCCTGCTAATCGTAATATGCAAAACTTGTATCAACGTTTTTAACCTGCGCAATTTTCGAATTACAAAGCTCCTCCTAAAAAATTAGCAAGCGCAGTTAACTCACACATCACTTTTGCTCATATAATACAAGGGAAGGGTGATGATGGATAAGGAAATAGTAATGATCGCAACACAATTACTAAACCAACAAAGAAAGCTTCTCCTTCAAACCAATCACAACGTGATAACAACAATACAATTCCACCTACTGAATCATGGTCTGACGATATTCCACCTCATCTTGAAAGGGAATACTATCATGATCAGATGAGTTGTCCCACACCAGGAAGCAACATCCGAAATGGTACCAAAGCTGGAGGCTCGATGCACGGAAAAACGGATGGATTTTTCAAAGAATTTGTTAAATAACAATTTAATAATTTGTCATACCAAATGAGCTTGCTAGTGGAGACGCTTGCTTTCACCGTCAAGAGGGTCGAGTCAATAGAACGTTTTTTAAACATCAAAGTAGTGACACCTGGAGAGGCTGAAGCTCACAATCTAAATTCTGAGGAAATGATTGATGATGTAATCCCTCATATTGATACATCCTCCTCCATTGTTATTCAATAACGCCAAACCATTGATGGATTATGCAGCGTCAATGAAATGCAACAAAAAAGGTTGAAATCAGTCACTTCTACCATCAACGCCTTAGTACAGTCATGCTCTGCCTTTCAATCAATCCTATTAAAGGCCAATTTACTGAACAGGCTGCTACATTTCTCCCACTTGGAGATAGTTTTAATAGATATATTGATGCTTTCCTCAAAGGACTTCCTCAATTTTAATTTTCCTTTAATGATTACTGTCTCTACAGACTCTTTTGCACAAGCTGCACACTCCAACATTAATGATACATTTCCTACCCCTACTCCCCATTTATCATTCTCCACCCATAATGTCCGATCATTCACTAACACCGCTAAACAGAACTTTCTCATTGATCTCTACTCCTCATTAGACTTACATGTAATAGGACTACAAGAAACTAATTTCACCCAATCACATATCTGACCATTTAACCTCACTTTCCACTCTCAATTCTAAGGTTTTTTTGGTACTCCGTCTTAATCGAATGCACAGAAATCTGGATTTGGTGTCGGCATCTTACTCAGACCTACTCTTGCTGATCATGTCTTTCATCATGAAGTCAAACACAATCGTTTAATCATAGTGGACCTGCAATTTGCAAACAAACAGAAACTTAGAATTATTAACTGTTATTTACCACCTGGAAATCTCGCTCTTAGGAATGTCATTCAACTCGACCTTATAAAATATATTAGAGAAGCGACTTCTAACAACTACCTCATCATTCGCCTTGGTGACTTCAATGCTGACATGGATAATCCAAAGCTCCATTCATAAGATAAAAACCTTTTCTCTATGCTGAATAATGCTCACCTATTCAATACGTTTACAGTCAAATATGATCAGCTTCACGTCGCTCATCCTACACATCGCTCCACAAAGTCGAATTCTCAATCAACTTTATTTAGTCATCTGGAGATGTGATTTCCAACTTCGCTCATTGTAATACCGAAGATGTACTGCCCTTCATATCAGATCACTCCATTGTCATTCTCAAAATTGATAACTTCCTAGATGCCAAAAGTAATAAAAGGAATATTCCTACAAAAATTGTCTTTGACTACGATAAAATGTCAGACAATAAATGGAATGATTTTAGTAATAAAACAGATGCTTTAGCCAATGGATGTCAACTTCGTGCTCTTAATCACAGAACGGTTTTTAACCAAAAATTACTTAACCGATACTGGGATCTTCTTCAAGAATGTATCATGAAAGCGGCGGATACTATTATTCCCTCTCACAAGTCAAAAGGTCAGCACACGATGAAAAGACCTCCATTGTTATCAAAATTATATAAACAACTTAAGTTGTTATATAAATTCAAAAGGGCTACAAAGAAACTAAAACGCACTTCGAACGTTCCTACCAACTGGTCATCTTTAATCAATAACTTTTATTCTATTATGAAGGACTCTGATATTGTGCATGTCGCTATATTACCTGATCCGTCTGCTTTTATCGTTGATTCGCTTTTTTCTCTCATTGATCAATTACTTAACATCATACTCGTTAAAGCTAAACTTCATGAACATGACTTCAAGCTCAAATCAATTCAATAAGCTATTGAAAGAAGACTGGATAACTACCAATTGTCCCCCGCAAAAATGACCAATTCATTGTTAGGACATTCTAAAAGAACCATAACTATCGACCGGTGTATCGACAACGCTTCCTCATCACATGACCTCTTAACGGATGAAAATGCAGTTAAACAAGAAGTTGCCAGACATTTTCAAATGGCTGCTGGTACTGCTCACGAACATGTTCCCATTGACGATGACTGGTTACCTTTCTATCAGCCACTACCCGATATCGACAACATGATATACAGTAACCTTATGAGTCCACCGTCAGCCGATGAGTGATATGATATCATCACACATCTCCCTAATGGAAAAGCACCTGGACCCTCCAAAGTTTCCAATGATATGCTTAAACATCTTGGTCCATTGACAAAAAAACTTTTATGGTATATAATTTGTGGTTGTCTTTCGACCTCGTCGCTACCGCATCGTTAGAATCATGCATTCGTTTACCCGATCCCAAAACCAAAACCATGGGAATATGACTTGAATAATACAAGTCCATCACTTTGCTTAAGTGTTCTCGGAAAGCCCTCATCAAACTCTTAAATCGCCAACTTTCCAAGATCATAGTCAAACACAATATTTTAAAAGGTCTTAACTTCGCTGGATTGCCATTCAAGTCAATGTTTAAACCACTGCATATTATTGATAACATTAAATACGATGCCAACCATAATAAGAAAGACCTTTAGATTATGCTTCAAGATATGTTCAAAGCATATGACCACGTCAATATCTTCATGCTGATTAAAGCGCTGGAAAGACTGCGAATTCCTTTCAATTTCCTTCGGTTTATCTTGAAAATGTTTGGTAACCGCTACAACCAAATATTTACACTATTCGGTAATACTGACTCTTATAGAGTGGTATCGGGTATCGACCAAGGTGAAAT